GTGTGGACCAACGTAGTGGGGGTACATTTTCCCATGAGACTGGGTTGGCATGGGTGGGTTCTCTTAGGCTACTCCAGCTTCCTCCTACAGTCAAAAACATGATTGTAAGGTTAATCGGTGCCTCCAAATAAGTAGGAATGTGTTTTAATGGTTGTTTGCCTCTTTGTTTCCCTGCATGGATTGGCGACCTGTTCAGTGTGTACCCCACCTTTTGCCCATATATTGCTTGGCATAGTAGCCCAGCCCCGCATGAGACTATAGACCAGGGATATCAAAGTAAAATACAAAAAAAAAATTTTTGCTGCAAGCAAGGGCCAGACTGGTTAAATGTTTATTAAAACATTTTGAAATGAACATAGCCTATGAACCAAGACCTGTTTTTAATATCAATATTAAAAACAGGTCTAGGTTAAACATATTACTGTCAATGATATTATTAAACTTTTATTATGTCAATAAACTTATCAAGCTGAATACATAAATGAAATTGCATGGATTAGACACTGAAAATGCATTACTGTGCTGCTCTATGATCCTACTGATCACTGCTTTCAAATAGTAAAATAAGAAAAGAAAAAAAAAAATCAAATTTGTATTCTCTCTCTTGGCTCTTATCTGCATTTACCCTGAGTCCATTCAACTGAAAAATATGAATAAATAAAATAAAATACAAAAATCTATTCAGCGGATCCAGAAATCAGCCAGAGGTTCTTAAGGAAAGGAATTTATTAAACAAAAACCAGATCAATACCAAAAAGGACTCAAGAATCAGAAAGACTACAGACTGCAGGTGTCAAAAGAGGCTGATTGAAGCCAAATTAAAATGAGCCGAGATGGAAGGAGAGGGGAGCTGATCCTGCAGGTCATAGAGCCAGACACGCTGCCGAGTGTCCGTCTGCTGCAGGATCAGCTCCACCGCTCCCTCCATCCAGGCTTCTTTTATTTTGGTTTCAATCAGCCTCTGATGACACCTGCATACATCAGTTCCGGAGCGCTGTTAGTGTACTCTGCCTCCTTAGAAAACCAACTTCAGCCCAGCTTGGATTGTTAATGGGGTGAAAAGCAAAAACCAAAACAATCCAAACATGCAAAGCACATAAAAAAAAAAAAAAACAGATAAAAGAAAAAAAAAAATCTTGTTTTCTCCTTGGAATGGAGTGTTGGTGTGTGCAACACAACCGGATTCGGCCCGTGGGCCTTGAGTTTGACATATTTGCTGGAGACAAACGATGGAAGATGATTGGAACTTTATGTGTTATTAATCAAAATTAAATGCTCATATGTCAGACCATTAGTGTGTTGTGCAACTTCAATGTATTTATTGTCCATGTTACACTCCCTATACAGAAAGGACTCCGTCTCCGCATTTGAGAACTTTATTTGTCCCAGGCTGCACGTCAAGGCCAGGTTAGTGACTCACACGTTTGTGATCATCCTCCGTCAGATTTACGTGGCCACTAACCTGAGTTTTCCTTCTGTAGTTTCCTTCTTTAGACACTCTAGCTGCTAACTGCAGATTCTCCATTTTTTAATAAACTCTTTTGAGAAATTTGCCAGTCTGTTTGCCTTGAATTCTGGGTCTTCTGTTCTGAGCCTTGAGAGTGTCCCTTTTTTAATTTCACAGAATTGTCAATCCTATGTGTCAGGCAANAGTCTGTTTGCCTTGAATTCTGGGTCTTCTGTTCTGAGCCTTGAGAGTGTCCCTTTTTTAATTTCACAGAATTGTCAATCCTATGTGTCAGGCAAAACATCTTATGATAGAATTTAAAAGGTAACACTACATGTGTTATTTATAGATAATCAAAAGCTTTCTCAGTGTTTATTTCCTTTTACTAGTGCCTGTTTCTGAAAAGATGTAACAAAATTTCCATTCTGGGTTCATTGTAGCACTGTAAAATAAAGTTTTTAAGCTTTTTAAATAGTAAAAAAATACATAGAAAAACTCTAAATGACTTAAACTCAAGTACATAAAAAAAGAACTGAATTAGTAGGACAATGTTTACCAGACTAAATGTGTTCAAGCTGAGTTTGTTGTGTAAGAGTCAGGGAGCCGTGTCTTTAACAGGCAGAGGTTTTTGTACGACGACTCAATCAGTTTGTATCACTGTGGTACACGTTCGGTGGAGGAACCAGACTGGAGTTTGGAAGTAAGTGCAATATTTCAGTATTCAATATTTTATTTATCATTACAGGTAGTATACATTCCTATAAATTTGTTTTGTAAACCTAATTTATATTGAGATGTCAATAATGAAGGTTTTTGCTGCTTTTTTCACAAAAAAAACTTTTGTTTTGGTTAAAATCTAGAATCATCAGTGTATTTTTTTTTTTTTTTTTGTCCCTGTATTTCAAAGGTGTTTAGTATGATATTAGTGGACAAGATGTGTAAGGTCTTAATTTCTGTTGTAATCCAGACTAAGAATTGTGTTTAGAGTCAGAGAGCCGTGTGTCTCCACAGTCAGTGGTTTTAATAAGTTACCTTAATTAGTTTGTATCATAATATTGGGCTTATTGTGGAGAAAACAGACTGAATATTGAAAGAAGGTTTTTAAAATTTGATATTTATGCAATATTTATGTAAAATGAATTATAAGAGTGACCAGATGTTGGAAATAAGTGGAATATTGACATTTCATGACATGAGCGTGTTCATAAAAAAAAAATTCAATTGTGTTTCAGTTAAAGATTCGGTTAGTCAAAACGACCAGCTTTGTTTTAGTTAGTATACACATGTTATTAGGAAGAAATTTAAAATATTTGCAAAAATCTTCAATTTAATGTTTGGTTTAAATGGGAAAAAACACATTATAAATGTTTGGTGTTATCAACCAGAGTCATGTTCAGAAACAGTTGCAGTTTTGTTAGCTTTTATCTGCCTTAAGTATTTGTTATTTTTCTTCAAAACTATTTTTTATAAAAGTAATATGACTTGATTGTGAGATCTGTTTGTGTTTATAAACTTTGGACAATGTGGCCAAGACATAAACTGTAGTTTTTTAATAATGGTCTGAAATAATTTTAATTCAATAGTTGTGCAACCTATTGCTTTTTCTGCAGTAAATACGATAAAGAATTCAGGTCATATCAGGGCTCTGTGAGCTGATATGCATGAAATGATCGGTTAAGGGAAATGAAACAATGTGTGAGGGAGTGACTGATGGAGTGGAAAAAAGTATTTTTAGTGACAAACTCTAAAGAG